CCTTTTTATTGTCTCTTTTGAATAGTGTGTAGATGTTGTTTATCTCTATATGCCTGTTGATAGCTGCCATTTCCAGGAATTCCCTTGCATTTTTGGACTTAGTTTGGTCTAAGATGCTGACGGTTTCCCAGTTGAAACTATGGTTAAGTCTGTCCATGTGTTGTGAGATAGGACTTGAACTGTGGAACTGCTGCCCAAAGGATTTGAATCCTAGAATTGCAATAGTTTTCTTTATTATTTAGGGCTTTTCTGGTGTCTGCAATCAAAGTAGCTTATCAAAGCTTTCTTCTGGAATATTAAGCCTTCTAGTTAAGTACTGAACTGGGTAAAACCTCATGGCAAATCAGCTACTCCTTACTTCCACTTTTATGGAGAGTTCAATGGCATCAAGTTTCCTAGACCCAGAGCATGGTTTCTGACTGTCTTGTGACTCAGTTGACTGTGGATCAAATTGTCAACATCTTATTAGAACCAAATAAGACTACATCAGAACCAGGTGGGGTCCTGAATGGTGGAATTAACCTAGACAATTAATTTATTAGCTCAAAACTGCTGCCTTCCTCACAAGCTCAGGACCCAGCCAACACTACAGTAGCAGATACAGCTGCAGCACTGCAGTTCTCAACCACAAACATCTACCCCTTTACCTGATAATGCAGTAGGAATCCTGGAAAATATATGACCTCTCTAACACAGTGTGCATTATACCTGAATAATTTATTACAGATCTCTCTTTTGCAGAATTTATGATTGCCTTTTGACCAAAGAAGTGAAAAATGGGCAACTCAAACCCATTTCTGCAACCAAACAACCCAGACATGGACAATTATAGCATGGCTGAAGGATGCCTTTGATGATCCTCTTCCAAACAGGTGATAGTCAACTCCAAGATCCTGTGCTTATCATAAGTTAAAAGTTGGGTGAGTGCATATTTAGCTGTCTTTTAATTGTTAGCTCACAAAGTGGACTGGGATGAACAAGTCTTGTCAACCAGAGGGCTTGTCTGATGAACTATGGGGCATATTCATTTGGTAGGGCAACTGAGAAACTTTGGTTGCATTAATCAACTCTGTTTTGGAATACTTGAAAGATTCCAGGACTTGTGACAAAGTAGAGGTGGGAGGAAAAGATGCCACTATTCTCTTTCATTTCTTCCTCCCCACATTTTGCCTGCTACTCAGAGACTTCAGGTGTTAAACCCATACAGTTCAGAGTTAGCAGGGTTTCCCTATCTGCAAGAAAAGTAGCATCAGTGCACACACAGGCTGTATTTACATTGTGGTTAATCTGACTATTTTGCAGAATAGTCTGATACTCCATCACTCACTTACCCCAGGTCTGAGGTAGTGGCAAAATGCTGTATTTGAGGAACAAGGAAGGACATTTTGCAAGCAGATGCCCCAAGTGCTGTAGAGCTGGCCTTTTGAGAAATGGGTAGTCCCAGGCTTGAAGGTGAGGACACCCAGAAATTAAGTGGAACCAGGCAGCTGATTATTTGCATCAGCATTTTGCCCTTCCTGTTCTTCTTCAGGCTCATAAATACTCATAAATTCTTCAGGCAATAAAATTGCAAGACCCAATGGATTCTAGTGCTTTAGGAAACTTCACAGACTCTATAATTGCAGACAAATATGCTTACCTCACTCACCTTGTCAGTTAATAGATAAGGACAGATACCTTGATTTTTGTGCTCTGGCCTTGACTCCAAATTCACAGAACTCTTTCTACTCATGATCTGCAAATATCAAGAAAATCTAGAAAATTTATTTCTAGAAAATAAATAAATTATATTTGCCTTTTCCATTATATTTTTCAATTCTTTTAGGTATGAACTGGCTTCAGATTCACTATTCACAAATTCATTGGGAGTGAGATTTCTAGGATTTTTTTTTTAGTCCCAAACATATAAAATGTGAGGATTCAACAATTCCAACTCAGCTCAGCAAGACTCCCCCCACCGTTTTATCTGCCAAACATTCAGATTATACTAAAATTTCTTAAGGAAGCTACACAGATCTTGCCCCTTCCATCAGTTCTATGACAGTACTAGAAACCTAATTACTGGAAAACACAACCCATAATGTCAAATGACACTTAATGAAACCAGCAAAAAGATGTAGTTCTTCCTCTGTTATAGTCCAAACTCTCTCCCAACGTTCATTCATGAAGACAAACAGATTGGGTCACTTTAAGGGAATCCCAAGGGGGCAATTCTGTTACCCAAGGACAGCATTTGTTTTTAGGTCAGGGAACAATATCTTGTTGATATTGTACCAAGAGATTCGAACTGTGAAGTTCTGTAACGTCCTTCAAAGAAAACTGGCAATCACCTTCAGCACAAAAGATAATTGCGCACATTCAGCAGAAACATCTGCAGAAAAATTGTAAACTTATTGACAAAATGTTTACAGTCCTCCCCATAATCAGGACCCTGTTTTCTTATTGCTCCCAGTCATGGGAAATGCTTTCCCATCAGTAACACATAGGGAGACATGAGGTGAGATTTGCACGTGGTGTGGTGAAGAAGAAAATATCCCATCATAAGAGTTTCAGACACAAAAGAGTTAAAGGAAAACCTAAACTTGATCTGTTTGTCAAATCTAACCTGTCAAACTAGATAGTGGACAGAGACCATTGAAGAACGAAAAATTAAAGCCTTGAATGACCAATCAAGAGTGAGAAGGTTTTCCTCTCTCAAGTGAGCCTTTAAAAAGGGAAGAACCAGCTTCATTTTGTCTTTGTTGTTTGTCTTTCTTATGTAAACAGATAAGCAAAGTATCTGTTCCCAGCTGGCTCAGAGCCAGGTCAGTGTCACTCCAGTTTCAGGGAACTAGAGCTGGAAGTCTGTTGTTGTTGTTCAGTCATTAAGTCATGTCCAAGTCTTCGTGACCCCATGAACCATATTGTGCCAGGCCTTCCTGTCCTTCACTGCCTCC